TCACGACCCGAGGAAAAGGAAAGTCGCGACTCGCGACTTAGTGATGCGAAAATCGAGATGCAGGATTTTAAGTCAGATTTTGGACCTAGGGCACTCTATTCGACTCCGGACTTTATTTTTACACTTTTTCTCTCTAGAAACACATTCCGTTCATTACTTTTTCACTTTTGTTTGGATTGGGAGATTGAAAAACTCCTTTTCTCGCTTTGGATTTGGATGCACTTGGATTTGACATTGGGATTTTGATATTAATCGTAAATTCTTTTTCTCAATTGTTATTGATGATGATGGCTTGGGTTGATATGAATTGTTATGTTGAATTCGTTATGAGTAGCTAAATCCATTCGCTAGGGATAGGGGATGATTATGATGTTTAGAATTTAATTGTTAATATCATGCTTGTTGATCGTTCAATTTATGCGAGTTGTTCTTAACTAGGGTTTATAATTCTCGTACATTGAATGTTGATTATTGTCGAAGAGTGACACTTTGATTTGCAATTGATTTCCAATTGAATATGATTCGTTCTGATGTGGTGTGTTTAAATTTAGCGAACTAGTAGATTAACAATTGTCTAGGATAATTAATCAACTCTTAGAACCGAAAGGGGAGGAGTTGATCGATCTAGGCTCGTATGAAATAGACTTGTTCAGAAACGTATTGTCTATGTATTGAGTGATTTGCATAATTTACCGTCTATGATACCCTCTTGTTACGAAGAGTTATTGAGGATTAATCTTTAGACGTTAGGTTGGTCGAACCATCCAATCGAATGATTTCTGCTAATTGAGGAAATAAATATATCACTAAACTCTACTTTAAGAATTTTCAAATTTTCCGACCACACGTATATTATATGTGAGGCTAATTGAGCCTCGAACTTATGTGACAAATTTGTAATATAATAAAATCAAAATATGAATATGAGTTATTGAGTTATAGTAATTTAAAAGAAAATTATTAATGGAGCTCCGGCTCCCCATAAATCATAATCACCCTAGATTTGCTATTTGCCAGCTGCTCAAATTATTACTCAGCTTCTTTGAAACTTGTTTGAAAAGTGACCAAATGAGATTCCTTTTTCCTTCTTTCTTTCCTCTTACAAAATTTCTATTATTCTTTGGAATCATTTATGTTTTACACAATCAACATCATTTTCATGATACATATATAACTTAATGATGGAGATCGAGTCATGAACTCGGGATTTAAGATTTTCTTCCTTCTGAATATGTTATCCATTAATTTCTCACTGTGACGGGAGCTCAACCTTTCTACGACTAACTATGTCATCCGCGGGTTGCGCTGTGTAGTGTTAAAAATAATGTAAGTGAATTATAAAATAAATAAATTCAAACAAATATTCAGAAAACATTTGTAGTGATTAGTGTTTTAAAACGCGTGTAGCGTAATGCGTCGTGTTTTGGTTTTTTACAGCGTACCGTAAATAGCGTTACGTGTTGCGTAAGCTATTTGTGTATAAAAAATTATTTTTACAAAAATATTATATATTTGCATAAGATAAAATTGAATGGTTGATTCCAAAAATTATCATATTATTTGAATGAAATAAAAAATAATGTTTAATAATTGTTTCTCTCACATGTTTAATATAAATATCTTAACATGAATATTTAAATATTTCTCTCAAATATTTCATATTTAAACAATAAAGCAAATATGTTAAACTCAAATATTTCATATTTAAATAATAAAACAAATATGTTAAAAAGTAAAAGCAAACAACTAAAATATAATAGTAAGGTAAGTCATAGTTTAATTTTAAGTATGTACATTAATTAATTTTATTTTTACTTTAGCTACAACTTAATTCTAACCAAACTTTTTATTGTTTAATTTAAATGATAAAATTAAATAAAATCATTATCAAAATTTTTAGTTTTTGGTTGTCATTTAAAAATATGACTCTAATCCCTAAAAAATACATGTTTTTGAAAATTTTATGCGGGATTTTAGTTTCTATTTCAGGTAAATACAAATCTTTATATATATATATACACCATATTATACAATATTGAATTATGTAATGATTATATGAAAACATTAAATAAAATATATAGTTGACTAATCAAAATGAAAAATTCAGAACATGGATGAAAAGTTTTGAATGGTTTGATCAAATTATGTTTCTATTTATTAATGGTTTTAAAAAACGGGAGTGAAATTGAATTTTGACACCATCTTAAGTAACTAGTATGAGTCCCGTACAGTGCACGGGTAAGAAATATTCATTAATATTTATAAATTAAAAATTTTTATTAGATAATATTTATAAATTAAAAATATGGAATCAATATATAATACAATTTACCTATATTAATTTATTGAAAATGATATATAGTTTAAATTGACTATAAATTAAGTAGTTGAGTAATTTACTAAACTATAAATAATTGACTATTTCGTTTACGTCCTAATTACTATTGACTCGTAAGCATAATTTTTAAACCCGGCCCGGTAATGGACTCGGGCAGTTCCTCGGGTCACCGGTTCAACCGTCAGGTCACCGGGTCAATTATTAAATCGGATAATTAATTTTAAAATTTTTAAAATTATATATAGAGTATTTTTGTCATATAAATATACATAAAAATAACAAAATTAAATGTTTTGTGTATGAAATTTGTACATTAAAGTGTTAATAATATGTAACCCATGATAAATATTTATCATATAAATATATATACATAGTTTTATTTTTAAACAACAAAAAAATAAAAATAAATAAAAAAATATATATGGACCGGGTCAACCGGGTTGACCTGGCTGGGTCAATGCCTCGGGTCGGTCGGGTTTGACCGGGTCCTTTGTTGTCCGGTCCAAATAGCCCACCCGGACCGGTTCTGGCTCCGGGTCGACCAGGTCCCGGGTTGACCCGCCGGGCCGGTCTGGTGAAAAAAACAATGCTCGTAAGTTCTGTATAATTATTTTTTTATTTTTAATTTTAAATAATTTTTTTTTTTATATATTATATATCAAATTTAAATCATGCAACTAATAAAGATAATAGCAGCATGTTTTGTCAATATATTATATACTAAATTTAAATCATGCAACTAATAAAGGTAATAGCCGCAATATTTGACGAAAATAATTTTGTACATTAATTACATTTAATTTAGTCGGGATTTTTCAAATTTTAGCCAAAAAAATTATCCAATTTAGTAAATCTGAATTTTTAGGCAAGAAACTAAATATTTTTTTACTGATTTTTAATTATTATTTCAAGTAAGTATCTTTGTCTCTCTATATCTTAATAGATAGATTGGTGAAATATTGTTTAAATTAATAGTTTTTTATTGGCATAAAATAAATTGGAAAGAATTAATCTAACTGTTTAAATGAGCTAAAATTTTATTTTTGTTATTACCAAAATAATTATTGTTTTATTACCAAGACAATCACATTTTAGGTGGAATTTTTTTAGGTGGAATTTAACATAGGCGTGGTGGGATTTTAGGTGTAGTTAAAAAAGTAAAGAGCATATAGATAGACACAACACAAACTTAGTGCCGATATTTTTTCCAAATTGGCCAAACTGCATCCGATTTTCTTTCCAAAGTGGCCGAAACCAAACAGTTCAAATTTCTAAAAGAATTAGAAGTTAATTTAAAGAAGGCGGGATTTTTTAAATTTCGCCAAAAAATATTACCCTATCTAGTAAATATTATTGTTTATGCAGGAATTGAAATTTTTTTTTTTTGCTGATTTTATACTTGATTTTTTCAAACAACTATTATTCCCTCTTTATATATTAATAGATTCACATAAAACCAATTCTGTCCATGCAAATTATCAGACAAAACCAAATTCAGACAATTGAATCATCCAGCATATAAATCATGCTAATGAAGGTTCTCATTCACATGAATTTAAAAAATCAAAACCACTGAATCCGTATCCAATTTCTATTTCAGATGAGAACTTGATTATGAATTGGGGCCCACATCAATTTACCAATATGCAATTAAAGCACATATCACAATTCTGAATCCATTATCCACTCATCTAAAGTTCATATATTCAGAATGAAAATTACCCACTGATTTCAAATATATATTTCACACAATTGAATGTAATTACAACATGTGAACATAATTTGAATATATTTATATATCCAAAAAACCGGTAACAGCAACATGAAATCCAAATATATGTTTTGCGTGTGTTTTTTTTATTAAGATTAGGATATCTACAAATAAGTGGCATAAAAATCTGACCAAATCTTAAATGATAAATGAATAATATTATCATCATCCCATAATAATGTGAGCATCCAATAATAACGCGAGTATTTAGGCGTTGAAAATCAGTAAAATGACTTCCAAAATTTTCGAATTGTATGGGCGGGATATTTTTATTTTTTTGGCCAAGAATTGTGTTAAATTTTAGGCGGGAATTGAAATCTTTTTTTTGTTGATTTTCTACATGATTTTTTCAAAAAACTATCATTCCCTCTTTATATATTAATAGATTTAGCAGACTTACTTTGTAATTCTCAAATTGTATAAAGTTGGATAGAATTTCATAGACTTGCGATAAAAATAAATTTCAAAACTTAGTAAATATTCCAAAAAACTGAGATAAGGATCGGATTTTATGGAAATTGCATCCAATTGCCGATCTGGTTACCAAATTGCATGGGCGGAACATGTGAAATGATTCAAAAAAAATTTACGAAATATATAAGCGGGAAAATGATTATTATGAAGCGGGAAAACTAATTATTTTTTTTCAAATTATTTGAATAGTTTTTCTTAACTGTATTATATAGTAATATACTTATATATATCATTATATTTGTTAGTCCGGTTATTATTGGTCCGACCGATAATACGGCGTACTGGTGACTAGATCGATATGACCACCATACGGTATTTAAAACTCAAAACCACGCCCACCCACTTTGTAACTTCGTACTCTAAAATCTCTTGCTCCTCTAAAGAAAAACCCTAGCTTTCTAATTTTCTCACCGAAAGATGTCGAAATCCCGTGAGCCCGAGAAGCCCGTCTCCTCTGAAACCACTTCTGACGACGATTACTCGTCCGAGGAAATCGAATCTGAGCCAGAACCGATCCTAAAGTCTTCCGCACCGCCGGCCGCCGCCAGGAAACGCGAAACCCCTTCCACCACACAGCCCGCCGCACCCGACGAGGATTCTGGATCCGAAACCGATTCAGAATTCGAATCCGAATCCGAATCCCGCAAGAAGTCCAGAAAAAAATCCAAAGCGGCCGCCGCCGACTCCGCCTCCGCTTCCCTGGCCAGATCTACAAGAAAGAGGGCCGTGGAGGAGGTTAAGGGGACGGAGCCCACTGTCACCAAGAAGTCGAAGACCAGCAAGAAGGCTGAAGCCGAGGCTTCTCAATCTGAGAAGAAACAATTGTTCCAGAGGATATGGGGCGAGGGCGACGAAATAGCCGTCCTGAACGGAATTATGCAGTTTAGGGCCGAGAAGAAATCCGAACCGAATGATAATTGGGACTCGTTTCACGATTTCATCAAGGAAATTGCAATGGGATGGACACCAACAATATTGAGGATTCACGGGCTAGTGAGAATCCAGTCGAAGAAGGGGAAATGAGGGTTGAGGAGGACGAAGCATTGAACAAGCTAGAGATTGAAGAAATGGAGAACTATGTGAAGCATTTTGAGGTGAAGACTAAAATGGCAAAGCTTTTTCTGGAGATGTTCAAGTCCCGGGGCCATTGAGGATGTGCTCGCAGGTTGTTGCCTTCTGTTTTTATCAATATCTATAGTTTATTATTCAGACCTGCTTCTCAAGTAATTGCGTATTGAAGGGATCCATTGGATATTTTGCTTTGTGTTTATGAGTTGCTACTTGCTAGTTTCCAGGCTTTTGTTACTATGTGTAGGAATTTCTGGTTTATTTTGTGATGGGTGGTATCTTAACATTAACCCTGTTTATCCTTTGTGTAGTTTGTTTTTGAATGTCCTTTTTATATGAAGGCTCCTTGATATCTACCTACCTTATTAGTGTGTTCACCAATTTCCTATGCAGCTATGGCTGGCTTTGAAAGTATATTATAATCACAAAATCAGTTTATTACTGCCAACTGGGCAAACAATCTCCAATGTTTGCTTCGACTTGTCATGTAATTTTGCATTCCATGTATGTGGCTCATCAATTCACTTTGCAGAAGATGTTTTGGGTGAATCTTATGTGTAAATTTTGTTTTTCTGTTTTGCTGGACTAGGATATACCGTGCTGATTGTTTGCTATGTCGGGTGTCTCATTTTTAAACTCTTTTGTATGTATAAGGACGTGGTTCATACTAAGAGCAACTCCAACCGTACCTCAAACCCAAATGCATCGCCAAAAAAGAGTGAATTTTTTTTTTAGCCAAGTAGAAATGTAAAACATAAATTTTAGCCATGTTGTGGGAGAAACATCTTTTTTAGCCATTTTGGCACCTAAAAATACCAAACTATCCTTACTATCTATTTTTCTTAAAAAAAAAAATCAGAAATCGTCAATTTCTGGGGTCCAGAAATCGATTTCTGGGGCCTAGAAACGATCATTTCTGGAGCCTAGAAACGCTTTCTGGACCCCAGAAATCCCAAAAATCCGAAAAACGATTTCTGGGATCGGAAATTGATTTCTGGAGCCCAGAAATCGTTTATGGTCCCAGAAATCCAAGAAATGATTTATGGTTGTAGAAATCGTTTCTGGACTATTTCTGGAGCCCAGAAATCGTTTATGGACCCCAGAAATCCCAAAAATCCAAAAAACGGTTTCTGGGACCGGATTATTGGTCGCAGAAATCGTTTCTGGACCCCAAAAATCGTTTCTGGACCCAGAAATGCCATACATCCCAGAAATGATTTCTGTTTGCAGAAATCGTTTCTGGACTATTTCTGGAGCCCAGAAATCGATTTCTGGTCGTAGAAATCGTTTCTGGACCCCAGAAATCGTTTCTGGTCCCCAGAAATCTCAGAAATCCCAAAAACGATTTTTGAATCATTTTTTGAATCCCAAAAGCAATTTTTGAATCATTTATTGACCCAGAAATCGATCCAAGAAGTCGGTTCTGGTTCAAATTTTATTTGTTTTATTATGTAAGACATTGATGCATATATAAGACATGTTTTTTTTTTTTCCAGAAATCTTTTTTTTTTTACATTGTCGTGTCAAAAATATGTCAATTGGAAAATATGTAAATTCAACAATCATACATGTATGATCGACCTCAGTCGCTCAGCCCCTCGAGGTATATAATGAGTGACCAGGAGCGTGATCATGGTACACCAAATCAAATACAATAAAGCACTAAAGTCTCATAATGTCGCGTATGACTTCGTTTACAAGGATCATAATAAATCTTAAAAACTTTTATCTGGATATTTTCATATGCTGATGAGAGGAAATCTTAGAACCACCACATGCTATGAGACAAATGACAATGTTGTGTTCATGTACGCATTCTTTGCCTTACATGCTTCCAACGAATTCACTAATTGTTGTCGCCCTATGATGGTGATTGATGTACCCATTTGAAAGGTCAATATAAAGGCATTATGTTTGTAGCAACAACAAAAGATGACACTACAACAAATGTCATTATTTACATATGTACCATACATTAGTGCCATTTAAAGTCTCAACAATAGAACTTGCACAAATTTTGAATATTTTTTGCAAGGAATTTCTAAAATCAACCATTTCTTAAAACAAAATATCAATCAACAGTGTTCACATATCCATGTTTAAAGGTCAAATAATGAAGCGTACACCGAGTCCCTCTACAGAAAACCTCATAACCTAGAGACTGAAGCACAAACTTCACTTGTAATGCACTTCCTAATGCATGTTGCGGTTTAGCAACCCCTAAAATGATATGTAGAGGTCTTTATTATCCATCCCGAAAATCTCTTCAGCTTTTCTCAAAGTCTCCTGAAAGTACCAAAGCTAATGAATAAGCAAGCCAAAAATCAAAAGCGTTATTTTTTTATTTTTTATTTTTTGTTTGAACACAATATATATTGAAGGTGTGTTAAAAACCAAAATATTAATATCCACTTAACAATCTATCCCAAACAAACAGTACCACAAAGGTGTATTAAAGTTCAACCCTAAAAACAATTCTTTTTATTCCATCATGCTATTAGTGTAAACTCATGTTAAAATTTGACATCAATTAAACTTACACAATGCCAACTTTAGTCCCTTATTTTGTTGTTTTATTTCTCTCCTTGTCGCCGAGCCTCAACTTCTTTCACTCATCTCCCATTGGTCGAGCTATTCTCCTTCAGTTTCAGCAAAACTAGAAAAAAACTTTAAAACGTAGATCTTGAAAAAACTATGTGAATTGACTTGAAAATCTTGCAAAATTATAATCAATACCAAAGAACATAATATACTGGCTACACGAAATTACTAATATAAGGAACAATAGTAAATCTTAAAAGAGGAGGTTGATGGCCGATATCTGATGTCATGTGGTCTGCAATTATAAAAGCATCGCCAAACTCAATTCAATTGATAATTAAACGTAAAATTTAGTTTTTAGTGATAGATTACTTTAACGTTGATAAATTTTCGTGGATGCTCCAATTACTTTTTCAATGGAAATATATCAATCGGAACATCCCGTGCAAGCCTGTCCAAGCCTGTTTCATGCCAGAGTTGTTCCGAGCATTCTGCAAAAATCAAAAAAAAAAAAAGAAAAAAAAAAAAAAAAAAAAAAAAAAAAATTGATTCATGACAAGTATGCAGAAGCTGATCCAAATTGATTCATAAAACAAGCACTGATCAACTCATACACACAAATATGTAGATTACGGGATTGACAAGAGTGAGTTTGGAGAGATTTTCGGAGTAACGGCTTATTTCATCTTGATAGTGAAGAGGAGTTTTAAACATACGAGAGATACTGAAAAATAAAACATGTTACAATTTAGAGACATTGGAGACAAAAATAAACAATTTGATACTAACTTAGAAAAATTAAAACCAGTAAATATAATTCATCTTCAAATATAATGCAATTTCATCCTACCAGCATGCTTGGCTTTTGTGTGGGAATCAAGGCCTTGCTCAGATGTAAATGTCCTGCAAGCAAAACCAACAACAACAATTATATATTTCAATTCCATTCTTTTATAACTTGTAAGATTCTGGCAATAGCGTACAACTAAGGTTTATAACTTTGCAGACAAGAACTACGAGTTATCTTTTAAAATTGCATGGAACATGTATATTAGAAACATACATACTAAAGATGTTTTCAGAATCAGGCTAAGTAATTATAATTATTCATGAAAAATAATCAAAAGATTATCCCATGATTTTGGTGTACCTGTTGCAGCTCTTGCAGGAATGTGATCCCCCAGATTTTGGTGTCTGCTGATTTGGCTTGTTCGCAGGTGTCTTTCCAGCCTGTTTTGTTGGGTGTGGTGTGGCAACAACTTACTGAAGGGGTCATTTCAGTTAGGGACAAGAAGGAATGTTAATCCTAAATAATTCAAAATATTAACTTTTAAAGGGGCACTCAATGAAATTCCTAAATAATCCAAATACTGCTGCATATTGATGAAAGCCGAACAAATATAGTTCTGAATTTCAAAAGCCAAAACATGCATCCATCAGTTTAACACATTACTCATACACTACAAACAAAACCAAATGCCTCACAATTATGAAAAGGATTGTCTATCCAAACCTCTAATACATATATCACTTCCAAGTCAGATGTCCATTGCCTATAAACTTTAGTTGGATAATACATTCATATTCATATTTGATATTTAAAAATTGGACTTAACATGTGTATATTCAAATTACAAACAATATCATGATATGGATGATAAATTATAAAAAAGAAGCAATATACATCATCCTTCAGTCATAATAATAATAATAATAATAATAATAATAATAAAAGAAAATGGAGCTTCCCTACCATCAAAAAATCCAAACTAAATAAAAGCCAAAGCTCTCGAGCTAAAATCGTCAAACTACCACAGATCAAACTTCAAATAGACATATGAATCAAGTCAATGAGAAACACAATACCAGAATGAATAAAATTCAAATACGAAATGAAAAAAAAAAAAGTACGAGCGCTGTAGGAGGTAGGTGGATCCCTTTGCAGATCCTTTAGCTCCTTGAGGATTCTTTTCGATGCCAGCGAACAAACCAGCAAGGGACGACTCCGATCTGACGAATTTTTCTTTTGCGAGATGAAAAATGACCAAGAGAAAACAAAATTGTTAAATGATAGGATAAATGAATAATAGGTTGTATTTCCTATCTTTATGCAGCTATTATTCACCCTCTATTGCAGAAAAATGAGTACCCCAAAACGGCACAAATGAAGAAGATGAGGGATAACCGCAAGCTGGCTTCGAGACGAAACCCCCTATTTCTCTCTCGATTCTCGTCGAGCGAGTGGGATGCTTGTCAAAAGTACAATACCCTTCTCCCTCTCTCAATTCCGACCGTGTGCGTGAAGATGGTGTCCTACGAACCGAACACTGGCGAAACACCCTATTATGACCGAGATCGAGTTCGCCTGAAGATGTACGACGACCGAGATTGCGTGAAGATGAGGCTTTAGGTGA